TTATAACAGTGAAAATTAATCATCTAGCTTTTTATGTACAATGTGCTCATCAATATTACATAGGTGTTTTAGAATTAAAAAGTATGATAGTAAAATTAAACCATAGCAACTATATTTCACTAAATTGTATAAAAAAATGCATAGAGTAAACACAACGTGGTGTATAGCGAAAGAGAAAGAGATTCAAAAAGAACAAATATCTGACAAGAAATGAAAGAGAAATACAACCCTAAACTTTGAAGTGTATAGCGATAAACAAAGAGGCTTACTTTGTGATTCGGAGGACACGAAGGTGTGCATTTCCTATGCCCTAATCTAAAAAAAAAACAAAAAGCAGATCTCAAAGATTGCAACTAGTAAAGCAAAGTCGTGGCTGTAATAAGAGACTGCAACCATAATTACCGGCTTTGATTAGCTTTGTTTAGCAATTGCAACTACAATCAGCGGTAAGAGAATAAGGTAATTCACTAAATCGTCTAGTGATTAAAGAATAGCCGCATACCTATTGAAGATACGAAACCCTTTCTTCCTCTACTCCATTTATCTAAAAAATTGAATGTCTCTACCTCTGTCCTCTTCGATTGAGAGAAAAAATGAACCTCAGTTATATGTCTACGATGAATAAGATTGGAGATGAACCTACAATCGAAGAGAGATACAATCAATGAAGGAACCGTAGAGTGAGATTTCATCAAGGATTGGAGAGAGGGAGAGAAGTTAGGGCAACACCAATTTAATTTGGAGGTTTAATAGCCTTTGAAGTTGTACAACAAGTATGAGAGGGTCGTTCTATGAATTAGGGAAAAAAAAACCTACAACTACAATTTGTTGTTGTTATTCTACAATTTGCTTTCCAAAATTAATTTGAAGTTGTACAACAAGTATGAGAGGGTCGTTCTAAATATGGCATAATGTTTTTCATCCAAAATCCATGGAAAAATTATTAATTATCAATGTTTGATGGATTTTCAAAATTAATTTAAAATTCTTTTTTACAAGGATATAATGCAATTTATCGAAAATTCATCAGAAGCTCATACAAGATGTATTTCAAACATCATTACAATATAATTGCTTAATTTATATATATATATATATATATATATATATATATATATATATATATATGATGAAACTATAATATCTTATATAAAACTCTTGATAAAAAACAAGTTTTTTAGAATTCTTTTGAAAACTAGTGGTTTACTAGCATTTTCATGGATTTCTAGCAAATATGCATATTCTTTTAGAATACTTGTTTTTATGAAATGTTTTTTCAAAAAATGTGAAATAAAATTACTAATTCAACAATTTATTTAAAAAGTCTTCTTACAAACCTGTTATCATGTCAAAAAAATGGCATATCAAGTTATTTTAGTATTTTATCAATGGCTTCCCACCAAGGAGCTCCTACCCTTCCATGGTCACGGTTACCCCTTATCGGTCGCCCACCACCATCACCAACCCCACAGCCTCATCAACCCCGACCGCCAAGCCCACTACTTTTTACACCGAGATTTCGAGCTCCACCGGCTGGACCTCCTCTTGCAGAAACTAACGTTGTTGCACCATCATCAACACCAACTGCACCACAACTGAAGTCCTACAAAAGGAATGTATATGATTTTACACATGTTGCATTGACAACACAGACACTCTTAATCATATATGATTAAACACACCTAATGGAATGTAATCATATATGATATTGAACTTCTCGCCTTCTTGCAAAACGTTTAAATTCTCGCATGTTCCTTCCTCTATTAATATTATATATATAATCTTTTAAATTTTTAATTATATAAAAAATAAAAAGATAAATTGATTGAGATGCTCCTAACTTGACAGATTGGATATTAACTCCGTCAGGACAGACTAGTTGGAAATTAAATGCAAACCATGGGGACATTCAGTGTAATTATTTTGAAATAGATACCATATCCAGATTATGAGCAATAGGGACCAACAAAGTAATTTACTAAAAACTATTTATTTAAACTCACGTGATGAATTCATTAGGAAACCCGTAGAAAAATCCAAAGATTTTTTGACAGACTTTTAAAAATGATTCGATAAACTGTTTTTTAAAATCGATTGATGGCATCCATAGGAATGTTCTAAGAATTTCTCATGGAATTTAGATGTATTTTAAAAAGTTAATTAAAAAAATTAGAGTTAACTTGCAAATTTGGTTCTTGTGGTTTACATAAATTTTCGTATTGGGCCTTTCATAATGTGAACATACCTCATGTAACTCGTGTATCATCCTCGTGAGTCTAAAATATTTAGCTAAATGTACAAAAAAAAGTTTCTCATAATCTCATTATTAGACAACCATGCACTTTTTATTTCATTTACTTCTAATAAAAAAGACTACTAAGATGTTAGACAGTCTTTGAAGTATGTCGAATAGCACATCAAATGAGGAGGTGCATTTAGTACAAAATCTGAGTCCATAATATTCAATGACAATAATGCATGGCGAACAATAGTTTTGGCGGCTGTCATCATCAAGAGTCAATTAAAGTGATAGCGAGCACGATGAACGGCAAGACCAAACCTTCATTCACAAACTATATGATGATTGAGGCCAAAAAATTGGTGCTTTGAGAGCTCAAAAACCCTGTGTTAACAGGTACATCTATAAAAAATGCAAAAAATAAAACAATCCACTTGAAACAAAATGCAATAATAAAGATGTTAATTATGCACGTGGGAAAGGAATAAAGTAGAATGATTTAATGGCTTCATGTTTTATAAACATGTTCATCTATCAATGGCGGACGAAACCCTCTTGGAATCATGTTTTTCATGATTTTTGTTTTGTTTTCTATTCTATATAAACATCTTCCTTCCCTTTCCAATTTTCTGCATAACCATTTCACCTTATTATTTTCCCAATGGCCACCAAAGATGGAGCTCCAACCCTTCCATGGTCACGATTACCCCACATCGTTCACCCACTGCCATCATCAACCCTACAGCCTCATGAAGCCCCACCACCGCCACCACCAAGTCAAGTGCTTTTTACGCCAAGATTTCGAGCCRCAACAACCAAASCTCCATCTCAACCTACCGCAATCCCRCCTCTTTCTGCAGGAACTAACGTTGTTGCACCACCATCACCGCCAACTGCACCACGTCAGTTAGTAGCTAAAGCTACGGCAGCACCAACCTCATCACCTGTAGTTCCAAAGGACACACAATATGAAGCAGCAACCACATCCCCAATCGTCACTCATGCTGCCACCCCGACATCCTCCCCTCTGAAAACTGTCAAACGTTCACCAGAAAAAACTTCATCTGCATTAACTTGTTGTCTTCTGTAGGTATTATTGTACCATAGCGATTACTAGCAAGGAAGTTTAGTACCATCCACAGCACGCACACACACACACACACACTCTCTTTATATATATACTTTTGATGTGAGCAGATTAATTTGCAAGTTGAATGATAAAAGTTAATGCATCTTTTCAAATGTTTGAATTCTGATATACAACATCTTAGACAGATATCATATATTCTTCTTTTCTAAGCCATGCTTTTTAGTTTGCTGGTAATCTGTTGGTGGTTGTGAATGTTACCAACACATTTGAAATAGTGTGCAACACATCATGTATAGTAACCTCTCCATTTGAAATAGTTTTTAAGTTTGTTTTAATTTTAAAATTGCAAGGACCATTTTTACCAATTTATATAATGCGGTACCACTATTTGGATAACCGAACACTCGCTATAATCTAGAAGAATTTCACGGGTTCTTTCCGTAATCCTTCAGTGAAGGTGACATCCTTCAGTTATCCGTTGGTATATCAAATGTGAAGGGGGATGGGAGTTCATTACATAAATGTATATGAATTAAATAAATATGTAACAAGACATTCTAAAATATGTATGTATTCGTTTCACAAACAATTCCGTCAAAAGTTCTTAGAGTTTATGTATGGTTTGCAACAGCTTTTTAAAAAGTTAATTTACAAATATATATATATTTAAAATCAATTAAATTTTATGTCAAAAATCCATCTATAAGTTCTTAGAATTTTCAACGGCTTTCTAAACTAAATTTGATTTATAACCAAGATTTAATCATAATTCAAAATTAATAACATAACATGATATAACACTGGTGTCTCAAAAGAAATTAATTCAAAAATATCCAATATGAATAAACATAGAATATTGTATTAAAAAATATCCAATATTAATTAGTTGTTGTCTTTTGTAGGTATTAATGTGAATGTTGTATTTACAGCATTATGGACGGATCCTGATTCTTTATAGCATGGAGATTACAAAGAAGTTTAGATTCATGGAACGCTATATATGATTGATGTGATGAGCAAATTTGCATGTTGTTATGATGTTTTTAGGAGCTATATATAGTCATTTCTTTCCTATTTTTTAAGTTGTTATGTTGTGTTGATGTTCCATATTCATATAGCGGAGGTTCTATTGGCACTGAAGTAGTAAACAAGGCTATAAAAGTTTGTAGAGACAGGGTTGAATACAAACATAAATATTTACTTTTAATTTCCTTATAGATTATAGAAGAATCAATCAAAGTATTTACAGACTGTTTGGCGAAAGAAGATAAGGTAGAAAACTTAAGCTAAAAAAACAATATTGCTTTGGTAAAAGAGTTAACATATAGAATCTCTAATAGAGTTCATTAAGCTCATACAAAATTTTCTCTTGCACCGTATAGACACAGAAATATATTTCTTAAGGCGCTATGGAGAAGAAGGTCTTCATTGATATTTATACTACATACATTAAGAGGGTATATTTCACATTTTAAGGGGGAAAGGTTTGTAGTATCGGCATGTCTTTGAAGTGACCGATCCTTAGACGACTTAGCCGCATGAACAATGTATGGAGATCATGCATAAAAGGGAACAATAAAATGTAATTCATATTGTACTATCTGACACATAGTTGCAAGGCTGACTTTGGCAAGATAGGATAAGACAAAAATTAGATTTGCAAGATTCTTGTTTAGCTAGAGAGGGTCACCAAAGGTTCTTCAGTGCTTGATCAGTTGCTCACTTCATCAGATAGGTAGATCTTCTGAAACGACTTTACTTCATCGTATCTTTATCTTTACCTATACCTTCTATATAGCAATGTTGTGCTGTGAACTTTCAAGTGTAAAAAAAGGGTCTCACGAGTTTCACGAAAATAGATTGGTCTCAACTGATCCCAAGTATATATATATATATATATATATATATATATATGTATATATGTATGTGTGTGTGTGTAGTCTGTTTGAGGGAGAATCCTAAAAAAATAGAAAACGGGAAATCCTCATAACAACCACCAATTATTTTAGATCCAACGACTAAAATACATTGAAGTTTTAAATCAAAAGGGTAATTTGCTACATTTTAAATATTCTATATTTATTTAATTAAGTATAATCCCTAAACATCCTCCTAGAAAATTTCCAAAATAAGGAACATCATGTACCATCTTTTCTCTATGCTATAGGATTGACATCGAGATCTAAATGAACAAAATTCTTGACCTTATACAACGGCGTATGGGGCTTTTTTGATAACCCTAATCCGATAAAAGTTATTCAACTCAACAGTGACTGATATGCACGAAAATGATTAAGCGACTACTATAGATGGTGAAATTTCAATAAGAAAATGAGTTCCAAACAAAAAGTTTGAAGGATTACTCAGGTAAGGTCAAAGATGAAAATTATTTTTATCATCCATTCCACTTATGAGGTTTGATGGTTCATGATTAAAGACAACCTCGTTTATTCGTCTTTTATAGGCATTATGCACATGTGCATGGGTGACCTATTTCAATTAACTTTATTTTGTAATCTACATATGGACTTGAAGTGTCACAAACAGAATTTGGATGTATTTCTAAGGGCCTTAATCGATGAGTTGAAGATGTGTTTAAAAGCTCCTTAATCTATGATTAAAAACATGTGTGTTAAAAGTTCCATGTTTTTTGTTGCTGCAACACACACACTTTTGGTATAAACAAACCCACAAAAAGATATATATACATATATATATACATATATATATATATCTGTATGTATATATATATATGTATGTATGTGTATATATATATATATATGCATGTATATGTCTCTGTGTGTGTGTTTTAGAGACATAGGGGAGATAGGGAGATAAATACATTGCATGTATGTTTGATTTGATGTAGATGATCGATGGATCGCATGAAGAAGGGGTCATTGAGATCAAGAGAGGAGAGAAGAGAAAAGAGAGAAGAGAGAGAGAGAGAGAGAGAGAGAGAGAGAGAGAAGGCATGAAAAAAAACGAGGAGAATGTAGTGTTGTATGTTAGTGATGTGTATAACCATGTATGTATTTGGTGTGGATGAGGCCAAACTCCTGCTTGGTAGGGATGTGAGGGAGTCATTAGTTGGGAGGGGACGGTTTATATATATGTTTGTGTGTACATATTTGTTCATATATTAATATAATAATTATATTAATATAGAAATAAGTTCAAACGAGATGCTAAACATTTTGAAAGAATGCAAGAAGTTTTAATATTATATATGATTACCTACATGATATACAAGGTTAATCATATATGATTACATACATGTTGCATTGACAACACATAGAACTTAATCATATATGATTAAACACACCTAATGAAGTGTAATATTATTTGATATTAAAACTTCTTGCCTTCTCGCAAAATGTTAAACTTCTTGCATGATCCTTCCTCTATTACTACAATATATAATCTTTTAAGTTTTCAATTATAAAAAAAATAAATAGATAAATGAACTGAAATGCTCTTGATTTAATATATTGGAGTTTAACTCCGTGCGGGACAAGAGCAGTTGGAAATTAAATGCAAACCATGGGGACATTTAGTGTAATTATTTTGAAATAGAGACCATATCCAGATTATGAGCAATAGGGACCAACAAAGTAATTTACTTAACACTATTTTTTTTAAACTCACATGATGTGCTTTAGGAACCCATAGGAGTTTTTGAACTAAAAAAAGGAGCAATAGCTTTTTTTTTTGACGGACATGTAAATTTAATTAGGAAACTTTTTTTTAAATTGGATGATGGTTTCCATAGGTAATCGGTAGGAAAGTTATAAGAATTTCTGGTTGATTTCCGATGAATTTTAAGAAGTTAATTTAAAAAACTAGAGTTAACTACAAATTTGGTTCTTGTGGTTTACATAAATTAACGAGTTGGGCCTTTGAATTGAATTTTTAACAAATGATAATCCCGTGGTTTCATTTTTATATCATATGTGATCATCCTAATAAAATTATCAATTAAAGTGTCGTTAGTGAGGGGTTGTTTCGCCATTAGCCCTTCCCATGCGAGTAGTTTCATCTCTATAACGGATTTATCACTACGTTTACTTTTATTTTTACAACAAATTTGGTCTCTCACTCTACTCTCACGTGTCAATATCATGTGTCAATATCACCTTAGTAATGCTTCACAGTGTGCACATTCTAAGGGGGTGTTTGGTTCGCAGATTTTGAAGGAATCTGATGGAATTGGAATGTTGAATTTAATTAACCAATGTGTGGTATGGGGTGTTACACCATCGTGGACCACCACCGATCTGAAGCACCACAGTTGAGTTAGTAATGTCGTCTGGCTTATGGGTATATTTGGGTTGTGTATTTTATATTGTTTTGCATATTAAATAATTATTTTATTAAATTATTTTTTAGTTTTAAAAAAATTAAAATTTTCAAAAAGGGCATTTTGATCATTTACCGATATTTCATTCCAATTCCAAAATTACATTCTATGAACCAAACAAACAGATTCCAATTTTTTAACATATTTCATTCCAATGTCTGCCAACCAAATAGATGATCAAACATGACAACATTCTATTCCAATTCCTTCAAAGTCAATTTATTTAACAGATTTCATTACATCCAAAAACATTCTGTAAACCAAACGCCACCTTAGTATCTTCCATTTATTAAGGGTTCATAGTGTGAACATACCTCATGTAACTTGTGTATCATCCTTATTAATTTAAAAGGTATAGCTAAATGTACAAAATGGATAATTTCATTATTAGACAACGATACACTTTTTAGTTCATTTTAGTTCTAGCCACAGTGTCATTCACATAAAGAGAAAGTTGATAAAAATCTAAATGAAAACAACATAACAACGGTTGAAAAAGTTAAGAAGAGCACATTTTGGGTCAGATTCCTTGGCATAATTTGAGGCAACCCAAACGACCAAGAAAAGGACCACTAAGAAGTAACACCACTCTTTGAAGTATGTCGAATAATACATCACATGAGAGGTGCATTTAGCATAAAATATGAGTCTGAAATTTTTAATGACAAAAATGCATGGCGAACGATAATTTCGGTGGTTATCTTCATCCACAGTTAATTAAGTGAAAACCAACATGATGAACGGCAAGACCAAACCTTCATTCACACAATAAAAATTGAATCTAATATAAGCATCAATAATATGCAATTCAAAATGATAGAATTCAATAATAAAGATGTAGGAATATGCAATTCAARATCACATGCTAATTAATTCACTAAGGAATAAAGTTGATTGATTTAATTGCTTCTTGTTTTATAAACATGATCATATATCTTGGTTAAAGAATTGAAACCTCTTGGAACCTAATTCCAAGCGGCCATGTTTTTCATGATTTTTGTTTTGTTTTCTATTCTATATAAACATCTTCGTTTCCATTCCTATTTTTTGCATAACCATTTCACGTTATTACTTTCCAAATGGCTGCCCAGCAAGGAGCTCCAACACTTCCATGGTCACGGTTACCCCATATCGTTCACCCTACAGCCTCACCAACACTGCAGCCTCACCAAGCCCCACCACCACCAAGTCAAGTGCTTTTCACACCAAGATTTCGAGCCACAACAATACATTACTAAAAATGGGATGTTATCTATGGAAATTTTAGTTGGAAAATATCATTTTTGACAACTCTTCACGAAAAAGTCTACAACAGAAAATGTAACATGGGGGTTATAAAGTGAAAATGAAACATATATATACATACTGCGACTGCACCTATGACAACATGTGCACATCCTACGTAGCAAACTTCTCCTGCTTTGCCATCTCAATCGATGTCATCTCCATCTCAAGGCACATCAAAGTCGTAGATCCTCTGTTTCTTATTTTTTTCAAATCAAATAATGTATTCCGTGGAAAATTCATTGGAAATGTCTTTGAATTTTCGACAGATTTTTTATTGCTTTTTAAAATTAAAGCCTATTTTCTAAACTGATAAAATGCTTTTCGTCCAAAATCGATGGAAAAATTCTTAATTGTCGATGGATGTTTGATGAACTTTTGAAATTAATTTAAAATTGTTTTTTTAAAGGAAATAAAGCAATTCATCGAAAATTCAAGAGAAGTTCATACAAAATATAGTTTCATACATCATTACAATATAATTGGTCGTAATACAATATATTATATATATATTGTGTAATACTTTTGCATAAGATATTATTGTTTCATCATATATATATATATATATATATATATATATATA